TTTTGTTTTCTTATCCAAGTTCATAAATCCTCGAGTTCTAATAGGTTAAGGACTCTGAGCTAGACCATGAAGTTTGAATAAGAGAATGATAGAGTCGGACTCAGGTTAATGGAGAGAAGGACTGTGAAAGACTGGACACACATTGCTAGCCATTTGAATTTGACTTCAAAGAAACCAGAGTGAATTTTTAGTAGGAGGATACTTCATCAGAATAATATTCAAAGAATTATTCCACTCTCTTTGCAGTATAGATTGACTTCAGAGAATCCTGGAAAATTTTGTCAGTTGTCAACAAGGGCTTAAGGTAGAACTTTAGTGGATACGATTGTGTGGATTAAATGTGCTCACAGTAAGAAGTATTGGTATCAGGGCTTGCATGACGTAGTTAAAGATAATTTGGTGTTCTTTGTCATAAAGTGAAGTTGGGAAGAGATAGGTGGCAATTTTGGAAGGAAAATTAGGTTATTAAAGATGGTGAAAAATGTGGTGTAATTGTCCTAAAGAGAGTAGAAGTGAGATTACTAGTGGGAGAGTGAGAAGCCAAAGCCTCTCTGATTCTTAACATTGTCATAAAAGATATTAAAATACTATTAGTGTCATTAGTGACTAATCTTATAATTGAGCAATTATTATGGAACTATGTTAATCCTTATTTTTAACAGCTTTATTGAGATATAATTCACATGCTATACAATTTACCCATTTAAGGTTCTCTATTCAGTATCTTTTAATATATACACAAAGTTGTGCATCTATCACCACAGTCAAATTTAGAATATTTTCGTTATCCCAAGAGGAAATTCCATTACCCCTGAGACATTGGACCCCAATCTTTTCATCCCTCCTGACCCTTGGCAATTCTAGTCTACTTTCTGCCTCTAAACTGTAGACTTAGCTATTCAGGACATTTCTTAAAAATGGAATTATACAATATGTGGTTCTTGTGACTGGCTTCTTTCACTTAGCATGTTTTCAGGATTCATTTACATTGAAGTATGTATCAATACTTCATTATTATGGCTGAATGATACTCTACATTTTGTTTATCCATTCATAAGTTGATAAAGCTCTCTTTATGCATTACTTTATTCTATTATGCCACTTTCCTTGACTGCCAAGTAGAGGAGTCGTCAGCAGTTTTCTTCTACCCTCAGTGTCTCTTGTTAAATTATTCCCCTGTTTCCTCCTCACTCTGTCTGGTGCTGGACGATAAAGGTCATCATTTTCTGTATGGGTAATAACTTTTAAGCCAAGTACTCTCACCCCAACCTGCCCCAGGCCATTTGTATAACTATGTTTGAAAAAATAAGTTCAAAAGCATTCTTTTCCTCTTTTTAAATAGATGTTTATTTTGCAGGGTATGTGGTTTGTCTTTGTTTTTATTTCTTCTCTGCTTTAAAAACATACGTGGGTAGATAAGTGCTTGTTGTACACTCTGGAGAACCCTAACCTCACATAAAGGGAAAAAAATATGTATATCACATCAAGTGCAGATATTTTAAACTGTCAAAAATTCTCATAGCAGGAAATATATTGTGCCACTGAGTGAAGTAAGTTATAGCACAGACGTCTTTCAATAACTGCAGTGAGTGGTTGACACTTTTAATTATTGCTGTTTTTCTTCTTCTGGACTATATAGGTAATGAAATTAAAATGCAATCCTAAGGCTTTCACACAAGTGTGATCACAAGTATGTTAATCATTTTGATTAACATTCCAATATATTTACCAAGGACTATATACTAACCCCCTACTTTCTACAGCCAGATACTATAGGAATTAAATGATTATCCCCTCAATTAGTATACACTAATATTAATAGAAAGCTTCATCACAGGCCAAGCTCTTTCACATAAATTTTATATGTTAATCCTGTGAACATGTAGTTATCATTCCCATTGCACTGATGTAGAAATTAAGTGCCAAAAGGTCCAATGTGTTTAACAGCAGTAAGGACCAGAATATCAGCTTAGAACTCCTGGTTTCAAAATGTTTTCTTTCCTCTTTCTGCCTCATAAGAGCCATTATGAAGCTAAACAAAGGTGTCTAAGGGACTTGGAAAAAGGAGATATAATCTTCGATTGAAGCAACATCTCCTTGTTGACAGTACACTTGACCCTTGAACAACACAGGTTTGAACTGCACAGGGCCACTTACACATGGATATTTTTCAACCAAACGTGGATGGAAAACATAACATTTTGAGGGTGTGAAACCCACGAATACTGAGGGCAGACTGAGGGACTTGAGTATTTGAAGATTTTGGTATGTGTGGGAGTCTTGGAACCAATCCCTGCATATTCCATACTGAGGGATGAGACTGTATTTCCTTTTCTAATAGCCTTGAAATTTACATGAAATTGGATTTAGCATGCATTGGACATCCTGTGAAAAGGCCAATGGCTTCCCCTATCTGCAAATTCCTCAGTCCTTAGTCTCTCATGCTTCAGTAATTTACATAACTGCTCCAAATCTCCTGCTCCCCAACTCCCCTGTCACTCATTCTCCACATCCTGGCCTTTCTGTTCATTGCCATAGCCAAGCAATAGATCTTCCCTCAAGCTTTCATCTTCCCTCAAACCATCACACAAGAAAATTAGAGTGAAGCAGACTTTACTGACAATTTGGTCAGAGGGGTAGGACATTCATTCTGGCAACAAATAACTAAATATTGTATATTAGACATCCTTTTTACTAGAAGTCTTTCAGACTCTTCAATGTGAGGCTTTCCTACTGGCCTCTTTCTCTATAACCTCTAGCTTCTTACCTATCCTTTCCCTTCACTGCTTCTGCTCATTTATCACTCTGTTCTTTCCCCTCTTAAATTTTATGAATCATGACCTAGAGGCCTGCCTCTCCCTCCTTAAAACTGTCTCTCCAGGTATTTTATTTTCTTAAAAAAAAAAAAAGGGAAACTCTTATATATTCTTTGTCTTGCTACATGTATTATCTAATTCAATTATCATAACCCTGTGAAATAAGATACTGTTATACCAAATCTATAGTGAGGTAATCAAGGCATAGAGTTAAATAACTTATCCAAGATCCCACAGCCAGTCCACAGTGGAGCCAGGATCTGAAATTCCCAAGTATGTTTGGAGAAAGGATGCCATTCTAACATCAGTAGGATATTTTCATAAGTCTTGCTTAGAAATGTCTGTAATTACTTCCATTCCAGGTGACATCTGCTGGGGAAAATTATGCAGTAAAGAAGCTTTGTGGCTTTATTCAATCCACTGATGACATGACTTACTTAAATATTGCAACCTGGTGCTACCCTTTTATTTAGCTTGTAATTTATATCTGGTAGAAGTTAAAATGACAAATAGTGGAAGTCAAAATTTTCCCTTTAAACACAATATTTTGTACATGCATAGATTTATTTTACGTCAGGGTTTCTCACCTCTGGCACTCCTGACATTTTGGGCTGAATAAGCCTTTGTCATGGAAGCCTTATCTTGTGCATTGTAGGATGTTCATCAGCCACCCTGGCCTCTACCCATTAAATGTCAGTAGATCCCCAAGTTGTGATAACCAAAAATGTTTCCAGATATTGCCAGATGTTCCCTAGGTGTAAAATTGTCCCCGGTTGAGAGCCATTGCATTATATCTTAAACTCTCCCAAGCTTAATATTAAAACACAACAAAAACAAAAATCACATGGTGACTGCCCACAAATATGGTAGTGATAGTAGTACTCTTGCCATTTGCCTA